TCGATATCTACTTCGTGATTGACAATCTGCTCCTCCAAAAACTCGATTTCGGACCTGCAACTCTTGGCATCCTTAATCCCCAATCTCTCCACAAAGAACAACCTCAACTCGACATGATTCGGTATCCTCCCATGCTCAAATTCATCGAGAAATGAATAGAATGTAACCCTTAAATTCTCATCACTTTTATCAACATACAATTTTGCTTTCCTAGCCTGTTTCTGCAACAGCTCAACTTGTTCCCTAACATCATCACTCAAATCGATTTCTTTTATTGGAAAAACATCCAAAAGGGTAGAAATTTCTTGGTTCAAATCATGGAAATGGCCCGAAATCGAATGGTTTTGAAGCAAAAGCCATAACTTACTGGATTGAGAGCAATAATCAAGCAGTATCTTGGACCTATAAAGCAACAAATAAAGCTCCTTGAAGCACAATACGGCTGTTGAAGGCAGATCCGACATGGACCCTGAACCCATATCCCTCAAGTACTCCAAAAGAAGAAGGAAAACTTCAAGCTTTCGAATCAAAGATCGAGAATTTCTCCATTGAAAAAAGAAAACATTGTTGGAATAGAAAGAAACGAGGTCGGACAAGAGCGTTGCCAGCGTTTGAACGAGGGCTACTTCGGTTAAGTCAACGGGGGCCAAAAACACCTCCAGAGACGGCGACCTTCTCCTCCTCAGAGAAGAGAAAATAGCTGCCGACGCCATTACTGATAAACCCAAAGCTGAATGAAATTAAAAAAACAAAGAGCACCCAAGATTCTCAGCCTTATCCTAGTCTTTGGGTCGTTGGTAGAATCTTCAAAGGATGTTTGTATATAGATGAAATATCAAAGATTATTTTCAACACACAAAAAAGATAGCTTCCTTATATAAGTGAGAAGAGAAAATGAAAAATGGGGATTCTTTTTCAAGAGTGGAATCCGCGTTTCGCTTCTGCTTGTTTTTTTCTTGCTTTTGTAGGAATTTCAATGGGGTTGCTGTGAAAAAAAAGGGACCGGTGTGGCTTTGACTGATGATAATCAATCTTTATCTAGACATTTTGTCCATAGTAAACAGTTCGAGAGAGAAATGGGTATTTAAATGTGTAGAGCTTTGATTACTTTACCTTTTTCTGGTTTGTTTGTTGAACTGTACATTGTTACAATGTAAAAGATGGCCTTTTTTTAGGGTTTTTAAGAGATGAAGTCACTTTGTCTGTTAGATTTGTTTTAGATCCTTTGCCTCTTCTGGAGTTTGGTTTTCACAATGTTGTTGTTTGGTGGCATTTAGTAATTTCTCATGGTTTTATTGAATATTATTTATTTTATATAGGAATAATTTAGTTAAGTAAATAATATAAAAAAATGTATTTAATTAAATGACACCCTTATGATAAAAATGTGTTATATTAATCATAATTTTCAACACTTACACCGTTTAGGATTAAAATGAATGAAACAAAAATAATGGGGGTAAAAAATGTTAAAATATGTTATATCTAAAAAGAAGAAATGTGCTCATAAACATAAGTTGATCGAACGACATCAACATTTATAATTAATTATTGAATGAATGAATGTAGGTTTAAAATGTAATATTTTAACTAATAAGGTTTAATTCAAGTGATAAACAGGTTGATATCGCTTAAGTAAAGTATCGAGTTTAAGTGGTAACCAAATCCAAATGTTTAACTCGAGTTAGTCCAGATTAGTTGAAGCTTTAGAACTGGGAGGTCAACAAAAAAATATAATATTTAAATATTTGAAAAGATGCACGAATCAAGTGACATTGGTGGTAAAATAATTGTTGTTATTTTTTGAAGTCTCAAGTTTAAGCATCATGAATGTCAGAGAGTGTTTAATATTAAATGGCTAGGAGTTATCATTAAACAAATATTACATTGCACTTATCTCATATTAATAAAAAAATACTTGAAAAGATTCATATCTAAACAATGTAAGATTTATGAATCTTATAATTATATTTAAACTAAATTTTTAATATTATCTTTTTAATATAACCATCAATATATAATTTATTAATCGATTAATCCAAATTTAATACTATAAGAACGAAAATAATCATCTCAATCTAATTTATTATATTCACAAATACAAGTCAACGTGTTAATATTGACCGGCGAACGTGTTAATATTAATTTCATTACACAAAATATAAATTTACAATTTTGTTTAAATGATGGAGTATCAAACTTCTTGAACATGTGACCTAACGAATGATGATAATGGACATAAGATTTACTTAATGCAAGGGTTGACCCTTAGGTAGCATTTAGTTTGCTGGAATCTATTGGAATTAGGGAGAATTGTAATCCAATTCTATCACACTTTTATGTTTGGTTCAAGTTTTTAAAGAAGAATTAGAATCTAATTCCATCAAGGGAGAGAGTAAATTTCATCCATAATATGATAGAATTAAAATTCTTTTGAGGAGGGAATGTGAAATTTGACCATACTACCATCATTAATTTTTTTGTATTCAGATCAGATTTTTTTTTTAAAATTTCGGGATCGGTCGGATTTTTTAAAACAAATCGGGTTCGGGTCGGGTTTTTTAAAGTTTGATATTCAGGTGATTGGGTCGGGTTTTTTTTCAAAAAATTCGGGATCAGTCGGGTTTTTTAAGTGTGATATTCGAGTCGGGTTTAGGGTAAAAATAACCGATCCGACCCGAAAAAAAATAATTTTATCTTATATATTTAGGAATAATTACAATAATACCCCTCTATATATAATTTTTTTTCAATTAAGTCATTATTTTTATTGAATAAAAATAATTTTTTTATTATTTCGGGTCGGGTCGAGTCCGATTTTTAATTCATATATTCGGGTCGAGTGAAATTTTATTTTGGTTGGGTCGGATCGGGTCTCGGTTGGAGGTTCCCTTGTTCTCGGGTCAGGTCGGGTGGACCAAAAACTCGACCCAACCCGACCCGTGACCATCCATAATTGGGATAATTTTAACTGATGATGTTTATTAGTATAATTTTTATAATTTATTGAAATGAATAAACAATCAATAAAATGAAAATTTAATATTTTTTAAATTTTTATAATATATTGCTACATGTAAGTTATAAAACAAACTAAAATTAAGAAAAAACAAGAAAGATAATTATGTCATTTTACATTACTCAAATCAAATTTATCTAATATGTCTGTGAATCAAACAGAATATGAAATTGGATTCCAATTCAATTTTCTGCTAACCAAACATGTTTCAGATTCAGATCAAATTCCTAAAGATTTTAATTCTTCACAGATTTCAATTCCCGCATAAACATTTTAACGAACCAAACGCTACTTTAGGAAAATCAACTGTTCACGCGACTTTTAGGTGCGTGAAGTTGCCAAGTCATATGTTTAGCTTTATGCTTTTAGTTGTTTTCAGTTAATTGCCTACACCGTTTTGGCAAATTTCCCCTTTTCTTTTTCTTACATAAAGGATCAAAACAACCTTTGTCCATAAACTTGACAAAAATTTAAATTTAGTCCCTAAATCTCTTTCATCTATATTAAAATTTAAGCGTCATAGTTTTCTTTTGATAATGTTACACTTTATACAATCTCACCGTTTCCCCCTGTAAGAATAATTTCTAAAAATTTATGTTTAACCCTTGTACTTTAATATTTTTATAATTTAATATCAAAATTAAACTAAAATCATTTTGAATTATCTAATACTTTATCATATATTATAACGTTCACATATTTCCTTAAATAATTTTTTATAATTCATACTTCTCTAATTCTTTTCATTTACTAAAATTTCCTAACAGCTGAGCAGGAAAAAAAGTCATTAAATCTGACAAACAAAAAAGATTTTTTTGGACAGCTGGCTCAACCCTCTCGTCGGTTGAATTGCACGCTTCCACGTGTATTTTAACCACACCGTTTCCCCATCACAAGTCGAAAAGCCACGTGTTGCGTTTCCCTTCCGTCAAACCGTCAAAAGTCAAAGAAATGTTGGGACCGCAACAAGCCAACACACACCGGCTTAGCGGTTGTTAAACTTCTAAATTCAAACCGAACTAAGACTAAAACTTGATTATTTAATTTCATTATATTCGATTCCCCATTAATTATTGTAAATAATCATTTAATATATTATTAATATTTTTCTAAATATCGACCATCATATATTTTTAATTATAATCCAGCTAATTTCTAACAAATTAAAGTATATAATCCAATTCTTTATTTTCCCCCCATAAAATTAAAGGATGAAATACGCAATTAAACAAAGAAAAAGACAGTATTAATATTTTACCAAAATATCACAATTAGGGCCCAGAGATCGTCACATGGCCCACGTCCGTCCCCACGGCTACATTATGATTCTAATAAAATAATGGGACATTTTGAATCTAACGTGGACAAAACCGATTTTATCATTAATAAATTGTTAATATGTGTATAAACGTTTTTATTAAAATAATAATGTATAAACTACAATTAACGCAATGCTTTTTTAATTATTCAAATTTTTTTTATTTAAATGTTATATTATTTAATTGCTGTGCGTGAAGTGTGAACTTGAATTATGGAAAATCCATTCAATATAACTGACTTTAGACTTTGGCTACGGAACAAGAAGAAAAAATAATTTAATTATAATATATTTTAAATAATTAAAAGTCCATTTAGGGTAAAAAGAGTGCAATTTTACTATTGTATTTAATTAAAACATCAAAATTTTTGAAGGGGGTAATAAAAATTATACCATTTTTGGTGTCAAGGACTCGAGGTTCCTACCAGCCCTTGGCTGATGGCTCCATTGGAGGCGACTACATCAACAAAGTCTTTATGACAAAAAGAAGTACAGAAAACTTCGGGTCTCGAGTTCGAGTTTATCATATGTGTGGGTTCGGTCCAAATCCGGATCCGCAACCAATGAAAATACTCCGGAATGAAAGTGGAAGAGAGCCTAACAACATTAATGATTGCATAAACTAGAATTGTGACTTTGCACTAATCTAGTTTCCTGACTACATTTTTCTCATCGGAAAGGACTCGTAATGATTTATTCAAAGAAAATGAATTTGACACATTTGAACTTACCTTGGCAAGAAAATAGCTAATTACAAATGTAAATATGAATTCAATCTAGTCATGCACCAAATCTTCCTTGTCGTACCTACCTCGGAGATTTAGACGAGACATTTTCCGCATGCGATGAGCTTCAACAATGAACGTGGTCTTCGTGTCCGGATTTTCAAACGCGAGAGCTGTGGGGTGTAAGGAAACATCTTAGAAAAGGGTGGAACAAATAATCATATATTTTCTTCAGGTTAGATAGTAGATAGATTACCTTCCGACGAGTTACTCTAGTTGCTTTCCAGCAAAGCAAGCTTTTCGACCTAGGTTCCAATCTCCTGAAAGTTACCAATATGAAGTCAATTCATAGTTGAAGATAATAAAACAAGATATTCAGCTGTTTAACTATGTATCGAGCACTAGATGTACACATACAGGTTCTCCTGTTCGAGCTTTTCTGCAATGGAGACTGCTTTGCGTTTTGACCATCCATTTCGTTGTGTGCATCCTTCTGCCTGCTGAATTACGTGCGCGAGGGACACCTTACTCCTAACAATGCTCCGACTATGACTTAGTTCCTCAGGTTTCCGTCTTCCTGTGGTAGATGCCAATGTTGGTTTCCTGTAAGCCACAGCATCGGCCAGCGTTAAACCTCTTCTGTTTAAGTTATCAGCGCGTTCATTACCCTTGGGTTCTCTTGGAGAGGCTGGTATTTCAACAATTTCACCCCCTGCATCAAGAGATTCGTGGTGCAACGGCTGAACTTGAGAGCCGACCCCAGCTCTATGCATCCTATTTCCGGAATTAGACCCAGGATCCATAACCATCTGAGATGGCCCGCCGTTGGAAGCTGGTAAACCGAGAAGTCCATGAAAGCCAGCTCCAGAATCTTTCCTCGCTTCACATCTAATTTCAATTGTCACGGACGAACCAAGAACAGACTCAAATGCTTGCGAAATATGCCCCATAAATTTCTCTGCCTTAGATTTGGTCATACGTGAACTGAACATCAACTGTACAGTTGGAGCTGAAAGAAAAGAATGCTCAATTAAACAGAGAAGAAACACTACACCAGTAGTGAGTTGGGCTCTTAGTTCCAACGACAAAGATTCAAATCCCGAAAGAGCTCAAGTAACAAAAGAAAAAAATATGTATAAAGCACCATTCAAGCAAAACCATCATGACGAAGCTACAATCTAGACGAGAAAGAACAATTGAAATCTACTTTTGGCACATCTTATTCTGCCATGATCTTCGATAAATTCCATAAACCATTAAAACATGTGTTATGGCTCCAAGTTCGCTAAAGTTTCTTGAACATAGTAATTTAAGAAAGTAACAGGCAATACTTAGCATCTAAAAGCATGTTATAACTGTATGATCAAGGCATGCAAAGATGAGCATGATGCAAAGTAGGATGTACCTGCACCGAAACTGACCGAGATCAGCTTTCCTTCTTGATATAAGAACTCTTTCAGACTACTAACTAGAATCTTCTCGAGCACCTGAAACCAAATTTCTTCGAGTCCCTTACAGTTTTTGACCAAATTCTGCCTCACAGTAGGGGCTGTGGAGGTTTGTTGTGGGGCCATCCCGGGCAAAGCTTGTCTCTTCTTATCAAAATGTATACCGTTAACCATGTTAGTTCCAAAATCCCCTGAATTTCCAGCATGGAGATTTTCCGACCTAGAATTTTTTGGCAGGCCTCTAGAACCATTACGGAGCTCATCTCTTCTGTCTGCATCGCTTAGAAGCAAGGGGCTATGATGAGAACTAGTGCCACCGGAAGATGTAGGCAATATATACTGCTGGTCAGGAGCAAGCTGAAGCAAAGCAGCGGTTAGCCATGTTAGTTTGTCATTCGACATCCTCAGTTGTTTTTCTGCCTCGGATAATGTTTTCAAAGCTTGGCGTAGTTTCTCCATATCTTCTTTGGACACTGCATAGCATACATCGGTTTAGTAATCGAGAAGAACCACCGAGTAAGATACACAATATGAAACTTTATTGGGAGCATTTATACAACAACTACGGAGTTCAAGATGGAATGAATTATTTAGTATTATAAAACAGAAGATTAAAATTTCCATTTTACTCACATGGTTGTCTTCGGAAGAACTTCCTTCTATGCCGTTCTTTAGTGAAATCATAACTGCCAGCAAGAATGTCAGTAATCACTGTAGCTAGCTGTGACATCAAAGCTAAAGGCTCCACACCAGTTTCCATTATCACCCTCAAACTCTTTACAGTGTTTACGGTGTCCGCAGATAATGCAAGATCGAGAAGGTCTACCAGCTTTTCATCAGAGATAAGCCCAACCTGTGAATCACATCCATAATATTAAAATAGACTATAAAAATACCACTGTATGGTGTTATCAGTTATTTTACTGTAGGCTATAAACTCACCAGTTCCTGAACCAGAAGAACAGAGATTTTTTGCCCGAGCAAACTGAGCTGCTCAAGTATCATTTCTGCATCCCTCAGTGATCCGTCGGATCGAGATGCAATCAGTTTAAGTGCGTCTTTCTCAATTTCGATGTCCTCTCTGGATGCAATCCACTCCAAAGTATAAATGATATCTGAATCCTTCAGTTTGGGGAAGAAAAATTTCTGACACCTAGACACGATTATATGAGGCAGAATATCAAGACTTGAACTGACAAGAATAAAAACCACACGCCTGGGCACTCGATCAGTGACCTTCGATATGGCACTCCAACAGTTGGGGGACAAAGTATCACAGTCATCAAATATGAAAACCCTGTATGGTGAAGGCAGCTGAGAGATGATCGTATTATCCAGGAGGTCCATGATACTTTCAAAGTCGAAATTACTTATAGGACCAACTTCCCGAATATTTCGGTTCTTACCCATATCATGTGAAATACAAGAGTTGCAAAAGCCACATGGTTTAGGCTGTTCAGGTGACTGACAATTCAAAGCTCTGGCAAATATCCGAGCACAGGAAGTTTTTCCAGTTCCATGAGGTCCATAAAAGACATAAAGGAATCCAACCTTCCTTTTCATAACGGCATTGGAAAGGGCTTGTGATGCCAAGTTTTGTCCAACAAGGTCTCTAAAAGTTCTTGGCATGTATTTTTGTGTTATATTTTGGTGCCTGCCACGGAGGTTCCCACCCGGTTTGCGGTGTTCACCGAATCTAGCTTCAGATGCAAGGTTGGAATCAGCATTACGCTTCAATAAATTATCAGAAAATATACCCAACTCCCCAGAATAATCATTCACCCAACGAGCATTCTCAGGGCTGTCCAGAGATCCAGATGCCTCGATTAGAAGAGGCAGCGCCTCCGCCTCGGATTTTGCAGATAAGCTTGATGGATCAGATTCCACAGGCATTTCAGGAGCATTTCTTCCATGGGAACCTGCTCGACCTTTGCTTAATCTAGAATCCGATAAACCACAAGAAAAGCTCCTCCCTGCTATGTCAAGGAAAGTTTTACCCCGGTGATGAATTCTTGACCAATTAAAAGGGATCCCACACCCATTTCTAGGGGCCCTAGTTACGTTTCGATCATCATATTTGTTTTCTTCATCTTCCATACCATACTTTTGATGCAGAGAATCCTGAGCAAATGAATTAGAAGCTACTGACAACTCATTTTGGCCTCCAACCTCTCTAGAGGAAGGAGCAGCCCGAGATCTTCTTGTACCTCGGAACTTGCGTCTTCTCCCCCTGTTTAATCCACTTGACTGACCACGTATGGCAACTTCAGGTTCCCCACGAGTTTTCTCTGGACTAATATGCCTTCCACAAAGGTTGGCATTTGAAGATGGTACATCATCATTATCCACGGGGAGGTCGTTCAATTGCTCAGACAGAGTCTTGATTTGAAAACCTTGTGCTTGCTTCCCCTTAGCGTTTTTACTCTTTCTATTTTTCAGTCCGGAATTACCCGAGATTGCATCAGGAGGCAAATCATTACCATCTTGCTCTATTACAGGCTCCTTGGTTTCACCCATAAGATCAACCCTACTACTTCTCCTACCAGATTCTTCTCTCCTAATTCTTCTACTGTCTCTAGCTCTGCTCCTATTACTACGATCACTAGTTGCCGGTACTACACTAGCTTCACCCATTGCAACTTTTGAAGCTGCAAAATCATCTAAAGGTGGTGAGCTTGCTGTGAGCCTCCTTCCATCAGTCTGCTTCTCGAGGCCCAAAGACCTTCTCCCCTTCTGGACAGCATCCTTATTACCCTTCTTGTAAAGCAAATCAACAACTGAAGGAGAATGCCAAGGGGGAGGACTGGCAGAAGGGTCCCTGAGGGAGCGCGACCGTTGAAGGACGATAAGGTCCCTCATAAGCGATCGGTCGGCCAACATAGGGCTGTGCTTATGCATATGATTCAAGTGGATACAGTTAGTCAAATGGATGTGGTTTCGAAGATGATCACTAACTTTACCATTTGCATCCTTGAGTACCCTATCTCCAACACCCCTGTTCATGATCAAAGAATTAATGCATTCCGCCGCAGAATCTCTTTTAACTTAAACAAACATACAAAAACAAATCGCATTTCCATTACTCTACTTAATTATGCTTATCACAAAAGCACCAAAATTCTCACATCCCATCAATTATTCGGCAAAACTGTCTGAAGCACCAAGCTTGAAGCTCTCACAGTCTTTTCGTCGAAAACAGAACATTCATTTTCAAGTGTCAGTGCCCCATTCGAGATAATCAATCCACAAACATGAAAATTTCCAGTCAAGCACAACAAGCCCTTTAAGCTAACCATCGTGTACTCAAAGATATAGACCTACAAGCATCAAACTAAACTAAGTACACAGACATACCTTATAAATCCAAATAATTCAAGCTTGAAAACCCAGAGATGCAACCTATAACTCCACTGGGAAGCAAGAAGAACGCTTTGGACCAAAAGTTTCAAGCTCAACTCATGAGATTAAAGGCACAAAACAAACAGCTTTTCAAACGTGCAAAAAAAAACCGAATCATGAAATCAAACAAAAAATGGGCAAAAAGAAACCCACTAGTTCAAATTGTATAGCTTTAGATTCCTCAAAGATGTAGCCTTTTTGGAAAGAAATGGACACTGAGAAAAAAGGAGAGAGCCGGGGACTAAAAACCCATGATTTCAACGTCCATAAAAAAGTGAAAATAAGCAAAGAGGAAGAAGAAGAAGAAGAAGAGGGTATTTTCAACTGCATTCACCTGATAAATCCCAAAAAGCAAAAACGAACCGTTGCCATCATTAAGAACCCATAGATCTCTCACTATTTTCACTCTTACTGTTTCGTCATCTCACTTCACATGTTTCACAAAAATGGTCCCTGGGTATATCTTTCAAGAGAAAACGATAGTCAGCCACAAGAGGCAAAGAAAATAAATTATTAAACACAAAGCCCAGAGACAGAAACCGGGTTCCTTTTCATTTTCTCCTTTAGACAAAGAGAACGAGATAAGAGAGAGTACTTGAATCGAAACGAAAGCATCTATAGAAAGAAAGGCGTGGCTTTTTTTTTTTTAAGTGTTTTAGTGTAAATTTTTCTTCTTCTTTTGATTAGATCTGTTAAAGACTGTAAACAGAGAAACATCTCTTGAAACAGGACATGGTACCAATCAGGCGGTTTTGTCCGTTTGGTTTCAGCATGCAAATTCGCTTTGTGCAGGTTTAAGGATTAATTCCATCATAAGTGTTTAAATGTGTTAATTAAATCCTTAAAGCATCATTATTTTGTCAATCAAATCGTTCAGCAGTCACCTAGTTGCAGAGTGAAACTAGGAACTTTAAGTTGATGGACTAGGATAAAATTAAAAATCTGGGGACTAAAGTTATATTTTTTGTTGTTGAAATAGCTTAAATTGAATTATTGGTTTTTAGAAGGGGACAAATTTTTTTATTTAATAAAGAATTAAAAGAGATCAAATTGAATTATTTAAACCTAATAGGGAGTAAACATTTCATTAGTTGTTAAATGCAAACTCAAATAGAAAATGGAGCTTTAGATTAAGAGATTGTTTGTTTACTTCATATTGATTAAGCCCTGAATGATTCAAATGTTGAATGATTCAAAGACTGTATGAATTAGCTCTGAATGTGACATGCTGTTTGATAATGGCTATGAATCATTCGTAATGTATTTATGTGCTTAATCATTCAATTGAATCAGTCAGCACTGAATCATTCAAAGGTGAGAAACAAACAGTCTGAATGCTGAACGGTTCAACATTCAACGTTGAATAGTTCAGCATTCAACGCTGAATGGTTCAGCATTCAACGCTGAATAGTTCCATTCAGAGCCAAACAAACAACCCCTAAATTTTAAATGAGTATTCATGGTGAAATTAGTTAGGAGTTGCATGGTAAAACTGCTAGTTTAGTCCTTTTGGATTTTAAAGTTCTATATACTAATGGTAAAATTACATTTTAACTAATCTAAATAATAGAATTTTATTTTAGTCCTTTTAACATTTATAAAGTTATCATCTAAAGCAATGATAATTTTATAATTTTCTTCTATTCCCCTCAAAATAATTTAGAACTTCTCCCTTATATATACATATTGTATAGATAACTTGAATCTAACGTATTTTTTTAAAGCTTTTAAATGCTGATCATTCAGTTCTGATAATGATACTTTCAATATTTAATTATAATATTTTAAAGTTTGAAAATCAATTTAAAATCTTAATATAGGAACGTCTAGTCCACGTAACCATATATTTAATTTAATTTTAAATGAAAATATTACCAAAATATTTTGATTATCAAGTATTCAAAGTTATGCACGTATTTGTTTATTTTTAGTTTTATGAAAAAAATAATAAATCACGATATATAATATATACACACGTTGTTGTTGTTGGTAAAATTATTATTTACGTACGTACTTTGAAATCAATATATTAATGATAAAAATAAATAAATATAGATAGCAAATAAAAGAAATAAATACAGATAGCAAATAGGAGTAGACGCAACATCTTAAGTCAAGGAAGTAAACTTTTAGAATTTTAAAAATAGACGGATTTATAAAATTTTAAGACGATGAAAATAAATTGTTAATTAAAACTATAAAAAATATCTAAAATATATATTAATTTAAAATTTTTAGGAAACGATTGTCTTATTTGATCTCCTTCTGTCCACCCGTGATAGCAAATCACATTATTTTCCATATTTTTCTTATTTATAGAAGTTTCCATCAAGCAGGCTTAATCATGGACATGCATAACAAGGGTAATTTCTTCATTTATTTTGGAAGGTCTTTACCCTCTTAATTTAAAGGAATCATTGATCATAACTATGACTACTCAATCTGGTTTTTATATATATTTTTATCTATTTATGCAAATTCGATTTTACTTGAATTTAGAGTTCAAATCAGATTGTAGGAAAATAAATTTTTTCTTTAAGTTTTAATATTAATTTGATCTGATTTGAAATATTAAATGAGAGATATATATAATAAAATCTTATAAAAATATTTAATTAAAATATATAAAATAATTACAATGTTATAAAGTATTATATTTTTTTAATAATCTGAAGTGATTATAATAATAATTTTTGTTTAAAATATTTTTTTTAATTATTGACAATGCATACATATTTTATAAATATAATTATTCGAATCTAAAATCTAAATAACACATACTTTAACCTCCGATAATACTTTACAAGTTAAATATATAATTTTATTATGTTGTGGGTTGAAGAGAAATAATAAAAAGGGACCCTCACGGGATCTGTGTATATGTTTGCCTCCGACTTCATGCCCGTTAGGGCATCAAAAAAGTGAGATTTTGTTTTAAATATATTCTCTTTAGGGTTGGAAGACGGTCCAATGTGGAACATTTAGCTGGAACCACAAATATAAGACATTATTGTCATTGAAATATTAGGTGGATTTCCACACCATTATTATTGCAGAGAGAGAGAAGGGGGAAGAAGTACTTTGTCGTTTGGCTCCAAGCGAATTCAATTCAGGCACAACAGCGACATTCCATACCAAAATGTTGGGACGCTGTTGCATAACGTAACTCAACATAGATGGTAAGTTTTAAATGAGACGAGATAGATCATAAGTTTTGATTAAAGTTCGGTAAACACTCGATTTGAATGGACTTGATCAACTTCTTAACGAGTCAAAAAGAACTATTTGAGACTCGACTTGAAAAGCTCGTAAGCAACTCGAAAAAAAATAATGTTTAGAGTTTGGCAATGCCCATATGCTTACATTTTTTGTGCTCTCATATCAAACAAGGGATGAGATATAGAAAACAAAGAATCAAGTTTGCATTTGTAGTTTTCTTTGGATTCTCCAAATGTATAAACCGAGTCAAGAGTGGAGGCACATGCATACACCCTTGGCCTTGGGAAATGAATCTCTGCATATTGTGCCCTATCAGTCTTCTCTAGGATTCCTGAATTTTCACTTTTAATATTCAAATACCATTCATGTTTTGAATCTACATGAAAGGCTCTGTTCATATTAAATAAATTATGGGTTCTAATTTTAAATTAATTAAAACCAATCATTATTAATATTAACTGAATTTTCGATAAATGCTCACTTTTATGAAGACGGGAGTGGAGGGCATCATTCTTAATCTTGGGGAAAGTTTCTTATGTCTGGTTCCCAAGAAACAATGTTACGGGTATCTGTTCAAAACCCTAAATCTGGCTACTTTTGCGGCGATTTTGCCATCATTGAATTTGTAGGGTGTTTCAACGATTGATCAGGGAAAGGTTGGGAAAATGCCACAATTGGTACTATCTAATCTTGCACGCTTGTAATTTAATAATAACCCTAATACCCGCTTTCATAAAGTTCTTTGGTGTGAAGAATAGGATCGAGTTAGTTTCAAATCAATTCAGTTTAGTTCAGATTGATTTGAATTGAATTAGTTTCGGGTTTAGATCATTCAAGTCATTTGGGGTTTAAACCATTTGTGTTACACATCATTTATGATCCTACTCACTTCAGGGTCGGATAATTTAGAATTACTTGCTCATGTGACTGTGTATGAATTTTCGAGTTCGGGTCAACACCGATAGCGGTTAGGAAGAAAATGTTTGAATCAATTATACACCGTAATTGTTCTGATGTACACAAATGTTTGAATCCTTTAGTATGCTGAACTCTCAACTTTGATCCCACAATGTTTGACAAAGCCGAAACTTTTGGTGCATCTAACTACATTGTACAAAAAGGGGGATTTTATACCAGACGGTTATGATTACTTTACATTCTAAAAATGAATTGCTGTACCCTTCGGTCCGTCGTCAGTTCTCGCGAATCACGTTGATTGGCTCACTCAAGACATACTTCGGTAGTTCATACTTGGCACCTGCGATTGTAATTTTACGACCGGCATAAACTATGGAGAAACAAACTCCGTAGGAAGAAAGGAAGAAAGAGTCGGTTATCAATACACACCTCGCTCATCATAGCAAACTGTTAGATCCACGTTCTGAACAATCACCCCAGCACTATCGATAATTGCTTGCGCGAGGCTTAATTCGGCTTCTGCTGCAGCTCGAAGAGCGTCCCATATCTCTGGTGACAAAACAGTTGTTCTTAAGATATAGCAGAAAATATTATTGAACAAGAAACATATAAAAAGGTCTTCAACCGGGGGGACAAAATTTCATTTGCAAGATATCGATACAATGAATTGCATCTCATAAAAGTGTAATGAGAAAAGAATCTATGATATTGAAACACCGCTCTCGGCAGACACTCCTGGAACTCGTTTTAGTTTATATCTATAGTGTTCAGGTAGCTTGTTTCTAGCACTAAGACGAGAGAACAAAATGAGCAGATGGGAAGAACTTAAACTTCCGATGAAAAGAAAAATGTTCACAACATGTATAGAATAACGATAAACGTTGGCGACTGACCTCTCCATTAGTTCAAGATCAAGGCCACACCGTGCTCACATGTGAATAGGACGATAATTTCATTCAAATTTGCATCAAAGAAAGATGTATTCTACTGATCAGGTAAAGAATTCAAGATGAAATTTAATGGTAGTCCAGCTCCCAAAACCGTTTACTTTAGAGAGCAGAAGAGGGAAATCTTTCACAAACATGGTCGTTCCCACCTCCCGTTTTAACATCGTGATTAGGTGTTCGTAAAACGAAAGGGGGTCAATACCCTTGCAGCCTTACCCCTTGTTGCCAGAGTAATAACCGTCACTCAACTCCCGTGTTGAGAGGCATTTCCTAGTACAAAATAAAGTCTGGTAGCAAGTAGCAACCAAGTTGATAATCTGATTAAACCCATGAATTGCGATGAACGATTAACTGTCACTCAACTACCGTGTTGAGAGGCATTTCCTAGTAAAAATTATGAATGTGCAATGTAAACGACATCAAAGAAAACATTGTGCAAAGAACACCACTAATCTAAACATTGCATTGAACAATTGATCTCAAGGATATTATCCAACTTCAAAAAATATCATATTGAGAAAGAGAAATCATTTCAAGAACTTCGCTAACAATACGGCTGTAGATAGATACCTCTCTGGCCACCATAGTGAGGAGCTGTGTCCCAAAATTCTTCGCGCATCTGCATAAGCTGTGTCCTTGTAATCGGTTCAGAATGTCTCCAAGGTTTCGGCTTTCTGATCTTCTTCGAATTACCTGCAATGTATTGAAATCACCAGATAAACATCACAAGATCAAAAGATTTTAGCTTTCAACCTAACTTTGCAAGCACAGATTACTCATTATAAGATATTTATAAGATCAAATTATTAAAAGAATCCATTTAAAGCAAAAAGATTTTAGATTGAATCTTATGATGATTAAATCTAAACTCCAAACCATACCTCATAGAAAAAAAATTAAAACCAATGTCAAAATTAGTCAAATTCCAGAAGCAAATCCACAATTCCACCATTAACATAAAAAAACACAATGAAAATATAACATCATTGAAACAAATGGGCGATTAAAAAAAAGAAGTAAAGAAAGCAATATTTATCATTAATTTACCGCGGCCCCTGCTTTTCTTGGATGCTGAACAACCCATGACGGATAAAGAGCAGTAATGAAGAAACAAAAGAATGTGTTTTCCTTTTCTGAGGAATTTGGTGCAACAGCAGCAGCTGGCGTTGGTGCTGCTGCTGAAGCTGTAGTTTCTTGAGACTTTCTTGAGTAAAGTTGCGCTCCCTTCAGTCTTCTTCCTCGTCCTCTTTCGTTCTTTTTTCTTTCTACTTTTCTTGGGGGTCGTTGATTTCCTAAGAAACTTGCTTTCTAAGAGTGGCTTTATAACTCCCTCTTTCCTCTTTTATTTTTATATAATCATAAATTTAGTCCTTATTATTAAATTTTATATCAATTTAGACCTTATTTTCTTTAGAATAAGTTTGACCCTTGCCTTCTGAAATGAGTTAAATTTAACTTCTAAAAGAATTAAATCACAATTGAAATATTACTTTTTGATGATGCTAATATAATATTAGTTTTTTTAATAATATTAATATAATAATCAGTGACGGAAAAATATTTTATTATCTTTTAAGGTTATTAATAATTTTATTATTTATGGTTTTTGTAATATCATTCTCTCTGTATTTGATTTGAAACGGGTGAAGATGATAAATAACTAAAAAGATTCTTATCTTATTTAAGTAGAAAAATATTACAACTAGGGCTGTAAATGAGACGAGACAGATCGCGAGTTATTTGAGATCGACTCGGTTAAGGCTCGATAAATACTCGGATCGAATGGACTCGACCCTAATTCTTAACAAACCGAAACGAGCTACTTGATACTCGACTTGAAAAGCTCGTGAGTAGCTCAAAAATATAATATATTAAGATTTAATTCATTGACGCGTCTCCATCGTAGAGTGATAGACAGTTTGTATGATATGGTAGACGTTTGATCAATAATCCAACCGTTGAATAAGACATTCCAAAATTGTATATAAAATGATTGTGGTTGTCCTGATATGCTAACAAATTCACATAATTCTTACCAAAATGCTTCAAGAGATTCTGCAGTCATCCATCCAAAAGTAAAAGCAGTAGCAAAAACATACTCCTATAAAATTTACAAATTCCAATACACAAAGAAAGGCACTACAAAAAAAAACCCATACAAATGTGTTACCACCACCAGAAACAATGCTTTATATTTATATATATTGTGAAATTAATGATATACTTACCTGGCTGTTCTGCAACTGAATACACACATCATCTATGTTACCCTCGTGTTAATCAATAAAATTTACAAATTCCAATACACAAAGAAAGGCACTACAAAAAAAACCCATACAAATGTGTTACCACCACCAGAAACAATGCTTTATATTTATATATATTGTGAAATTAATGATATACTTACCTGGCTGTTCTGCAACTGAATACACACATCATCTATGTTACCCTCGTGTTAATCACTCCACAGAGGAGGAAAATCTTAGTAATATTGGTCCCATGCATGTGATGGTGTGGAGTTCTCCCATGCAGGCAAAAACTGACGTATTCGGGGAGAGAACGCCGCTGGAAATTGCGCTACCGATGATCTCAAACATCTCCTCGTCGGATCTGTCGTCGCCAATGCAGAGAACGAAATCAGCTGGCTTTCCCCTCTCGGCCATGGTTGTGAAGATCTTTTCGGAGACCACACCTTTACTGACTCCCTAAAAAGCATCAGAAAAAAAAAAAGATTCAACATCATGCATTAATGTAAGCAACAAAGCTAAAGTCATTAGATCATCAATTATTGAAGTATTTCTCCAAGATAAATGAAAATGACCACAAAAGACGAGAAATCCAAGATATTGCAATCGTAAAGCCAGAAAATCTAAACCAAGGTCAAATACCTGTGATTTCACTTAACAATATACTGGCCTCTTTTCACAGCCACGGGTTCATTTGCTAATACGCTCTCAAGATGGCCTAACATCTCCTTCGCCTGGCTAGATCCAAAACCTGGGTCCGCGTCTCGATGGTGCCAGACCAAGGCACTCTCCTTGGTTTCAATATTGAAGCCATCAGTGGACTCTGTATACAATTTCATAACAGGTTCGGCTATTTGCTTCCATCTGAATTCACTATTCTGCCCACAAGCTTCCCACTCGTCATTAGCAGACCACCTGAATATCAACGAATTCAAAGTAAGCCCACCAACTGAAGAAGCACTAAACGAGAACAGTGGCAGAAGAAAAGAAAAGAAAAACGAAAACAGCATACCTCATGAAATAACCATGCTCAGCTGCAATTCCCAGTTTCGTACATGGAGAAAACCACTTGCTTAAACTTTCTCTTCCTCTTCCACTTACAACAAAGACCGTATTCTTGGTATCATTAGAAAGCGCGCTTACAATTGAGATAACCTCTGCACTGGGTGTCTTGTTATGTGACGTTTGAGGCATAACCGTTCCATCATAGTCCAATAGTATAGCCCTGTTTTTGGACCTTAGATACACAGATACGATGTGATCAATAGACAACTTTCTGAAGTTAGGATCGAGGGCTACCACTCTGAATCCAAAGCTCAAACCAATTCCCCAACAACGTCTTCTGAAATGATCTTTACATGTCCTTTCCATATCTTGGAAGAAGCTTCTTGACCAGAATGCAACATCATGTGAGCTAACATACCTGTAATGCTTCTCATGGCACAACTGCTTCTCACAATCAGCCATGGAGATTGCCTCATTCATTGCCTCAGCAGTTGATTCGATGTTCCAAGGATTTACCCGAATTGCACCACTGAGAGAAGGAGAGCAGCCAATGAACTCTGATACAACTAGCATGCTCTTCATAGGTCCATTTGATTCCGATGAAGACTCCGATTCAGACACTCCCTGCCGGCACACAATGTACTCGTAGGGAGTAAGATTCATTCCATCCCTGACAGCTGTGACTACAGCACACTCGGCTATAGTGTAATACGCAAACCTTTCACAAAGGGATACCGGCCTATCAATGAAGACAATTGGTTCATAACCAGGCTGACCAAAAGTCTCATTTGTTCTCTTGCAGCTTTCCTGTATTTCAACTTGTATCTCCTCAAGATCTTTCCCTCCACCCATAGCAGGGTTTGTAATCTGTACCAGAACTGCTCGTCCCTGCAACTTCGGGTGCTGTTTCAGCATCTGCTCCATTGCCAATATCTTCAAGTTGATACCCTTAAAGACATCCATGTCATCAACTCCGAGCAATACAGTCTTTCCTTCAAACTGTTGTTTCAGTTCTGCTACTCTCCACTCCTTATCCGCAAGACTCAATACCGACCTAATCTGCCCCATGTGGATCCCAACAGGCATGACCCGATTGTCCTTCCATAATATTCCAATCCAATATAAACCCTCTTCGACTGATACTCTAACCCCAACATTCGACTGCAACAAGAAAGAAAATGCCGAGCATAATCAAAAGTATGAAAACCAATGAGGTCAGAATTCAAAAGTGCCTTTAGTATCTCTTCCCTAACAGGTAACGTCCTGTATATCTCGGATGAAGGGAACGGAATATGTAGAAAAAACCCCATTCTCAATCTATTGAACCTTCTTCTCAAGAATGTAGGCAGCACCATCAAATGATAGTCATGTATCCAAACATAATCATCTTCAGGGTTTATAACCTCGATCACCCTTTGAGAGAAAATCTTATTCGCAGCAACATATGCCTCCCATAAAGACCTATCAAACCTGCCTCCATGATTGGCAGAAAACGGAAGCATATAATGGAAAAGTGGCCACAAATGATGCTTGCAGAAACCATGATAAAACTTTGTCAAAATATCTGGCGGCAGAAACGCCGGGACACACTTGAATTTATCCAACAAAAGCTGTGAAACATCATCTTGTTCAATGGGATCAACATCAACCTTCAAAGAACCAACATACAAAACCTCAATTTCTTCAGGCAAACCATCTTTCAATTGCAACAACAACGAATCATCATCCCCACTAAAACTCCACCCTTTATGATCAGGTCTCCGCTTAGCTTTAACCGGGAGTTGATTAGCTACAATAATAATCCTATCCTGAATAGCCGACGATGGCGCATCCCAGGTCACACTGTTAGCCTGATCATCATCGAGCTCAGAAATAACACCGGGAACAGTCATTACCCGTGGCAACCGCTTCTTTTCTCGGGACTGGCCCATTACAGGGAAATTACCCGACACTAGATCTAAAAGATTGGTATACGATCTTGACATCATCTTTAACCACTTTTTTAGTTACTAACCTCAACAAGAGTCAATCAACAAAGATCCTACAACTATAAACAAAGACCCCCTATAGATTTTTTATTCAACTTCCAAAAAAACCTCTTTTAATTTGGCATGACCTGCATTGGGTATCAAAAGGATATCATTTTTACATGAACAAAAGTAACAAGAATCACAAAAAACAAAGTAAACCCGTGAACAAATTAATATCATAACAGAATTCAATCAGAAGTGAACTAAAAATTGAAACTAAAACTTACCCTTCGTAGCACAAAGTTTGTATTTTTAGTGACCCTTTCGATCCAAAAATGCAAATTCGAGGGGGCGGGGGGATTAGCGTTTTGTGTTTGGGATTGTTTCTGGTCCTCTCTTTACCTCAAAGAGCCACATTAACAATTCCCCTTTCCTTTGGAATAAAAATATTATACAAAGTTTTGGAATATAAAAAAAGCTAGAGGATAAGGTCGGCCAGTAGACAACCCAGTAATGCCAGCAGGCGTTGTTGTTGAGTTTTTTACATCACGCGCGCCCCTTCTCTCTCACACAATTGGGGATGGATATGAGTCAAATTAGGTTAGCTTTTAATTAATTCCATTGACTTAAGAAAGATATAATTTTCATCTGAAATTTGATTTATATTTTTTAAAAAATTATTTGATTATTAACTTAACCTGTTTTTTAAGATAAAATTCACACAAGATATCAATCTCGACATAAATATATACAATTATCTTTATTTAATAAAGTAAAAATCTAATTAAAAAATATATAGATAAAAATATTATTATAATTTTTTTTATTAATCTGAGGTAAATACAATATAATATTTATTTAAAGATAACTTTCAACTATTTGACATTGAATGCATACAGTTCTGATATTCATAATATTTGAACCCGAAACCTCAAAAAAAATTCATTTACTACTAAAATCCTTTGATTGAATACAAAGTTATAATTATAATTTTTTTTAAATTAAGTATTTTACTTTAAATTAAAACTTGACTTAATCTGAATATATTGAA